CATATGGGAGTTCTATTTGTAGTTTTTTAAGGAACCTCCATACTGTTCTCCATAGTGGCTGTATCAATTTACATTCCCACCAACAGTGCAAGAGGGTTCCCTTTTCTCCACACCCTCTCCAGCATTTATTGTCTATAGATTTTTTGATGATGGCCATTCTGACCGGTGTGAGGTGATACCTCTTTGTAGTTTTGATTTGCATTTCTCTAATGATTAGTGATGGAGAACATATTTTAAATACAGTATTGTTGTCCTGCCTTTTGTATTTTATAGCCTTTTATTAGATCTTAAAGTTTTCCCCGTATTATTGGATGTTCTTCAAAACGGTGATTTTTTTTAAATTAATGTATCACATCCTAACATATGCCATAATTTAACTATTTTAACTGTTTCTCTATGGTTGGACACCTAGGCTGTTTCCAACATTTCATTATTCTAAATAATCTTGCTATGAATTGAATACAATCCCTGTCAGTGTCTAAATAATTATTTTTATTATAAAGGTAATCTTTTCTTAGCCCCAAAAATCAGAATATGAAGAAGAAAATAAATTTCAGGTGGCACCTGACCACACTGAGATAACACTCATTGTTCATCTTTTGGTCTGTGTCTTTCCAGTCTTTTTCTAAGCTCTGCACATGTCTGTTTATAATCCCTTTTTGAAATGAGCCCTTAAAATAACTGCTGATTTTTCATGTTTAAGCACCTGCCTCGAGTGGCCCTTCGATGAGGCCATGTATGGGGGAGGTCCCTGGCCTGGACTTGGGGACACCCCCCAGGTCCATATCCCGACTCCTTGCTCACTCCCTATGTGGGCCCAGAGTTTTCTGTGAATCCCCAGTATCCACATGAGCTCCTCTGATGGGGTAGCTCATGTGAATATTGGGGATTATGGATGAATGAGCGAGATGATGTCGTTTAGGTAAAGTGTAGAATAGCACCCAGGCGCCTAGAAAGTGCTGCTGTTGCTGTTTCCATTCCCTAGATTTAAAATCAGTTGAATTTTTTTTTTTTCATATTTAGTATTGCAGAAACTTGGAAAAACTGTTTGGATGGTGCAACTGATTTTAAAGAGGTAAGCAGTTACCAAGCCAATGATTCACTGGGCTTGTGGTTTGTAACTGCTTTAAAAAATGTTTGTTACTGTTCTTTTTTTTTTCTTCCCCTGAAACTTTCAGCTGATTCCGGAATTCTATGGTGATGATGTCAGCTTTTTAGTCAATAGTCTGAAGCTGGATTTGGGAAAGAGACAAGGAGGGCAGATGGTTGATGACGTAGAACTCCCCCCTTGGGCACGGAGTGAGTACCACCTTGGAAGTATTGAATTATAGAAATTCTCTACTTAGTCGTGCAATTTCAGTATTATTATTTAGTTGCTTAGATTTTTCAAATAACAGTATAATCCTCTACCTAAATGAGATGGTAAAGTCTTATTCCAAATTGTAAGTATTCTATGAGTCTGTGATGTAAAACCATTATTATGCATTCGAGAGAGCTAAGTGTTGTAAAAATGGTTTTTGCCTCTCCGCCCAACCCCCAAAATTTATATTTTATATGATTGGGGGGAGACTCATTAAGAAATATGTCCCTCGTGCCTGTCCCAGAAGCTCTGTCTGCATATGGATAGATGAAAGGAATGGGGTGTTTTGATCGAGTCTAACCTACTAGGTCCCGAGGACTTTCTCCAGAAGAGCAGAGACGCACTGGAAAGCGATTACGTGTCAGAGCACCTTCACGAGTGGATCGATCTCGTGTTTGGCTACAAGCAGAAGGGGAGGGATGCTGTTGGAGCCCACAATGGTGTGTAACAGTCACTGAAACTCCGTTTAGCGTTGGATGGAAACAAAAGCAACCCCCAAACTGAGCTCAGAGCAGCTTATTTCCTTAGCAGAAGCATCTTGTCTCAGCGGACGGTGCCTCCTGGCTCAGCGACCCCAGACTAGATACTGAATAAAAGGCGGGAGAGAAAGTGCTTTTGTCTAAAAATACCCGCTTCGCCATGGTCCCAAGAGGTCTTGTGCTAGAGTCTTCTAATTTCAGCATGTGCTCTCCATCCCATTCCATCACTTTTACTGAAGCTCCATCAGAGTAGGATGGGACGGTGGCCTTGCTTCCCACGAAGGCCCCAGAGTGTCTTTGGGACTGAGTGGAGGGAAGCCCGCGGTCGCCCTCTCCTCTTCGGGGCCGGTTCTTCCTCTGCCGGGCTTCTCAGCGTTGGCGATGGGGATGGGTGTGGACCTGACCCCTCACATGCCACACAGGGTGCTTTGCGCTCTCCTGGGGAGAGGCGTGCTGACCGAGAAGCACACTGAGGTAGCAGACCATCCCACGGCCAGTTGGATCGCTGCTCAGAAAAGATAATAGTTCAGCTTGATATTTACCCAAGCTGGACATTATCAGGCTGTTTCGCAAAGTGAAAATCAGTTTCTTTGAATAATAGTTTAAAGTTGTTGAGTTTTTAAAATAGAGTGTATATTAAAACAGAACAGTACATGTTTCAATAGTGTTTTGCATTTCTTTTTTTTCAGTGTTTCATCCCCTGACCTACGAAGGAGGTGTCGACTTGAACAGGTATTTATATGTCAGTAAGGAGTTTCGACTTGAGTACAAATGATCTCTTTGTGTAAATGATTCGTGCAGTTATTTGATGATATTAAGGTATGGAAATGTTACAGTGAATTACGGCTTGCTTTCACCACTGTGTAAATTACCGAGCCTCAGAAATTAAAGATGTGTGATACGGTCTAGACAGTCCCGGCATGTAGCGTCTATTACTGTTTGAGGGTTAATCTCTCTCCTGTTGAATGCACAAATTTCAAGTGATACAGGTCAAGGAGCTTGCACCTAGAGGTCACCACATGGTTTGTGTTCTGTCCTAAAGCATTGAGGACCCTGATGAGAAGGTAGCCATGCTCACCCAGATCTTGGAGTTTGGGCAGACACCAAAGCAGCTCTTTGTGACACCGCATCCTCGAAGGATCACCCCAAAGTTTAAAAGCTTGTCCCAGCCCTCCAGTTATAATGCTTCCACGGCAGATACTCCAGGTAAATTTTGAAAAGAGAATAAACAATGTGAGCACCTTCTGTTTCTCTTTTCTGATTAAGACGTTTCTGAGGATTCTGGAGAGAAGACCAATCATGAACCCTGGGCAGCTTAGAGATGATTCTGTTTTACTGTCTCACTGCATTTCTCCTGCAAACAACCAAATCTTTTCTGTTTTTATATTTGTTGTTTTGTTGTTATGCTGTTGTTTTGTTTGTTTTAACTTTTGACCTTAAAGGAAATCAAATCACTTTTACTTTCTGGTAATTTAAAGAGACTTGGCAGTATTTTTCATTGTTGCTGTTATGTTCTTTCTTTTCTGAGGTTTGCCCAGCTGGTGTTTGATTCTTAGCCATTCTTGTGTTCTTGTTGATCCGCCCTGCCGTGACTGCTGTAGCAGTCCCCGTTGCCCTGCTCATTCCTGCTCTTTCCCAGGAACGACTTCCAGCGTCCTGACTCTCCTCTTCTACCCCGACACGCAGATCTTGAATTCGGGGTGCTCTGTTTTCTTCATTTCTGTTTCCTTATTCAGTCATTTGACAGACATTTACAGAGTGTCTATGCCAGGTGCTAAAATGAACTTGACTCTGTGTCACATCTGGTATTTGGAAAGGGAGGAGAAGGTGCTCCCCTTCATCCAGTTTTCCACGTTTTACATTTTACATAAGACAGCCTCAGACCCCCAGGCTCCCAGGAGTCTGACACTGTATGGAACCTCGGGAGCAAAGTCGCTGGATTTCTCATTTTCTCCCACTCTGCGCTCTGTCCCAGGAGTTTCCAGGCTTCTTTGGCCACACAGCTGGGCCTCTCGCGGTCACGCGACCCAGGGCTGGCCAGCAGCGCGTCTCTGGGGTTAAGTCATGAAGACTGGAGATTGTCTCGTGATGCCCTTAAACCCGTGCTGCTCTGCTTAGTCACCAGGCCCACCCACGAGGATTATCTTAAAAGGGAAATTGTTCCAGCCTTTCTTAAAACAGAAGTGAAGGGACTGCTTAGCTAGTCCTGTTCAGGAGCGCGGTAGTAATTGGTTTCATCTCTTCTTCCTCTGTCTGGAAACCAAAGGCAAACGGCAGTGTTCTTAGGGAACTGTCAGGTTTATACAAAGATTGCTGACAAGGAAATGGTTACTCAGGGTCATAGTTTCTGAAGTTCCCAATTTAGGGGCGGAGTGAAAACTCTGCAAACATTGATAGAAGTATACAAAGACCCGCAGTATTCAAAGATACTTTAATCTTTCTCCAAATGATTGCTGTTTTATTTCGATGATGCACCTCATTCTTCTCCCTTGACTAACATGGACCTTTTGAAGCAGTTCTGTTTCAGTGGACGTTTTGCTTTCTTGGTTATTTGATTTTAATAGAAAATCTTGTGCCTCTGACGCTTGTCGTCGCCGACACTGGTCAGAAATTTAGCTGACGGAGCTGCCATTTAACGTAGTCTCTCCAGGTGAGGAGTCTTTTGAAGACCTGACCGAAGAAAGCAGAACGCTGGCCTGGAGTAACATCACGCGACTGCAGCTCCACGAGCAGCACAAAATCCACAAAGAGTAAGAACGTCTCGGCCGCGGCTTCGCACATGCCGGGGTCTTGGCCTGGGGGTCTTGATTGGTTTTAATCCCCCTAAACTGTCCACAGTAGTGAACAGCCACCAGGGGTCAGTGTGGCATGGGAAAGCATGGCACAAAATGGGTGTGTGTCATTTCTGCTGTCGGTCATTCTAGAGCACGGGATGGGGTCTGCAGACAGCAGGCAGCTGTGTGCCTCTCAGAGAAGTACACGGCCCCTCCAGTCCTTGATGGTGGGAACCTTCGGGGAGGAACAGGATATGTCTTACCCACGTGTTGCATTTACTGATACTGTCAGGGAAAATGTATCTTTTTTAAAACATGGTAACAGATATGTGTGTTATACACACAGAGAGAACATTGCAAAGTTCATTGCAGCACTCTTTACAGTAGCCGGGACATGGAAGCAACCTAAGTGTCCATCGACAGATGAATGGATAAAGAAGATGTGGCACATATAGACGATGGAATATTACTCAGCCATAAAAAGAAATGACATTATTTGTAGTGAGGTGGACGGACCTAGAGTCTGTCGTACAGAGTGAAGTAAGTCAGAAAGAGAAAAACAAATACCGTATGCTAACGCATATATATGGAATCTAAAAAAAAAATAAAAGGTTCTGATGAACCTAGTTGCAGGGCAGGAATAAAGACTCAGACGTAGGAAATGGACTTGAGGACATGGGGTGGGAGGGCGAAGCTGGGGCGAAGTGAGAGTAACATCAATGTATATACACTACTGAATGTAAAACAGTTGGCTGGTGGGAAGCAGCCGCATAGCACAGGGAGATCAGCTCGGTGCTTTGTGATGACCTAGAGGGGTGGGATAGGGAGGGTGGGAGGGAGGCTCAAGAGGGAGGGGATACGGGGTCATGTGTATGCATATGGCTGATTTGCTTTGTTGTGCAACAGAAACACAGTGTTGTGAAGCAATTATACTCTAATAAAGATCTATTAAAAAAACTAACAAACCTTTTCTTCCCCAAAATCAGGCTTGCTGTTGGCCCTAGAGGGGTCATGAGTGTCCCTGGTCCCCTGTCTGCAGGGCTAGTGATGGACTTTGGTGGGAAGGCTGGGGAAGCACTGACCTTGCTGACCCATCCTGTTCCAGAAAAGAAAACTCAGGGCCAGGGACGAGGCCCATTGTTCTGCTCCAGGGCCACCGACGTCCTGTCTGACGTTTGATATCACGTACACTTGGTCATGGGTGGAACGGAACGGGCCGGTCCCCGTCTGATCGGTGGCTCCAAATCAGAGCACAGCCTCCTGCAAAGCAACCCAGAGTCCCGCCTTACTTGTTATAACAACGGCTTTCCTTTGTCACCTTCTCTAAACGGCATGTAGAAAGGGGCCTTGTCACCCGAGGCAGTTGAAGACATGAGTGAACCTTTAAGAGGATGTGCGGGGACTGATACCAGTCAGGGTCCTTGGCCTCCTTAATCAATAGAAATTGATAAGAGGCCAGACAGGAGATTCAGGCAGGGCTTTATCGGGGCTCCTGCTGCCGTGGGGGGAGGGGAGTGAGAACAAACAGCAGGTGCCCTTGTTGGGCCCACGAGGCAGTGGCGAGCTGGTCCCCTCTTTGGGGTGAGGGCAGGGGTGTGTCCAGGGGTCGGCTGGAGCGGGGCTTAGGTGGCGTGCCCACCCCTTGGGTGGTGGTGTGTGCAGGGGGCTCGGGCAGTGCCCTGCTTTTGCTCCCAGCTCTTCAGAAGTGGCAGTTGGGTTTTTTGGTCTTTTTGTATCTTGCTGCCCATAATTTGCCCCAGCTGCGCACGCACGCAGTTATTTTCAGTTCCTTATAGTTTCACAATTTCTTTGTGTATCTGTTGCCGGAGGAGGCGTTTGTCCGGGTGCAGGCACTGTGGCAAAGGGTCCCCGGTTCCAGCCTGCCTCAGGACCAGACGGTGACATCGTCACTGGCCAGATGCTAAGTGATGAAGCGAGTGCAGTTGACTGCTCGGGGGGCGTCAGTGGTTTGGGTGGCGGTCACCTAGCGTTACTGGTTATCCAGGGGGCAGACGTGGGCAGGCAGCCTTCGTGCAGGGCGGCCGGGAGCTAAGGGTCGGGGTGTTTTCCAGCTGCAGGCGTTGTCAGGACAGAATTAGGAGTTGCCAAGCCATGACTTGCTAACGCCTGGTGGAAGGTGGGACAGGTCCCGCAGAACGAGCTGTGACGAAAACGATGACAGACACTTGGGCTGAATTAAATCAAGGCCTTGAAGGAGACCGGTCTCCTAGCACGTGGTTGATGGTAATTTATGAAACCTTGTTTTCCAACAGGGCAGTCACTGGAATAGCAGTCTCTCGCAGTGGGTCGTCTGTCTTTACAACCTCACAAGGTAGGTTTTCCTATCTGAAAGGGGGGTTACCGGGAATCACAAATGTCCAAGTTTCCTGACTCGGTCCAGGACTGTACCTTCGTGTGCTGCCTCCACGTGAAATAAATTTTGAGCAGTTAGTTTGTTGTGCATTGCGTAACATTCCACTGTGATGAGCCAAAAACAGTAATGAAAAATGCCTCCCTGTTGCTGATAAGGTTTCCCAGGATTTGGGGCGGGCGAGAGCGTGTGCTGGGACCTTTCCCGCCCTGAGGGCCGAGCCACACACGGGGCGTCGCCGGCACAGGGCACACGTGCTGTCAGCTTTTCACGTTCGTCACTGGGTGTGTGCTTCTGGGTGTGGACTGGAGGATTTAGCTCGAAATCTAATTCACACACACATTGTTAATGTCTTACACGTTACCAAAGTCACGCAGAAGCCCTGCAGTGGCTGGTTGATGGGACTTGTAACTAGCTTGATGACACACTGGAACTTCACTGTTTTGATCCTACAAAAGGGCTAAGCGTCAAGCCTCTGCTGGCAGCCACAGCGCTGCCCTTCCTGGCCGTCTACACCATAAGTCGTCGTTTATCTCGTCCCCGTCCCGTTTGAAGCGTGCTGACAGGCGCGCCGGGGGCAGCGGAGATGAGAAGCGAGTAGCTTAGCTGCCTGGTTTGGACAGAGTTCGTACCTGGCTGTGAGTGGCTGGCTACTGGCGCTTTGGTCGTTATTGTAGGAAATTCTGCTTTTCATCCATTAAGTTAAGGAAAGGTGCTGTCCAACCGCACACCTCCGGGTAAATCAGAGTTACTGCTCTCAGATTCTGGGATCGTGGCTTCACATCCGTAGCGTCCTTCCTTTCTCTTTCGAATATGATCTCAGATTGCGTGAAACAGTTTTCCACAAAGCACAGAAAATGATCCCACTGTGGACCAAGGTTGGCTCACATGGGGCGTACACACGGGGCCACTCCAGGGTCACCGAGACGACGACGCGGTGGCACGAGTGAGCAGTCGCGCTTTGCCAGGGTTCCTGCCGGTGCTACCACCCGAGACGAGACCCTGACCTGTTAGCAAAGCCGGCATTCTTGGCTGGATTTGTCTGTCATGGTTTGTTAAATCCCCCTGTTCCCTGTACTGGTCTGACCTTGTAAACCGTGAGTTTTACGAGCATCAGGGCTTTAACCCTCTGAGGCTTATTAAGCCTAGCACTTGTTTGTGAACTTGCCAGATAAGGGGGCACGGGGGATTCTTTTCAGTCAAAAGCTTTTGGGTTTTTTTTTTCTGTTTCTTCACCGTTAATAACTCACGTTGCTGATCTATATGCATTTTTGTTTACATCTGCATTACTGACTTACGTATACCCTGACGATCACCCCAGAGTTACGGTTCTTCCTCAGAGGTGGTGTGTGTCCAGGCTTATGGGTGACCCCACGGGTGACCCCCTCACCTGGGGGACCAGCTCTCAGCAGCCTCTGACGTGATTACCTCTAGTACGAGAGGGAACCTCTGATTTTGAGAAAAGCAGCTTTACACACCAGGCTGGCTGACTGTTTTAACTGTAGGACGCCCCAGTGCACGTCTGCGTGTTGGTGTTGGCAAAAATTAGGTGGAAATATTAGATTTTACTATACAGAAGACATTATTTGAAGCTCATCTGACCTTTTATCTATCATGCTGTATGTTTTCAAATTAGGAACCGTAATGTTACATATTGCAGATATGGGATGTTTGGAGCACATTGTAATTTGCAGTCTTGTCACTTAAGAGGTTTACCTTGATGCACTTCTAAAAGCTTCTGTTAGGCAAGGAAATTAAGAGCTTGGACATTGTAATCTCTAGTTTATTATTATTTAGAAAGTTAGTGCTTCTCTTCCATAAATGGTCATGCCCTACAAGGATATCACACCATAATTGGGCTATGTGAAAAGAAAAACATTGCCCAAATCTTTTTTTCTTTAATATTAAAATTGCTCTTTTCTTCCTCTTTAGCTTCTGTCAGTAATTAGGCTTAAATCTGCCTTCGGTCATGGCTTTAAGTTGACCTCCTTGTTGTGGAGCCGCAGATCATAGAATTCCACAGACCGTAGCGTCCTCGTCGGGGACATGACCCTCGGTCACCTCGCCTGTTACCTCTGCGTGTGCTGGTCATCTGTAAGGGTCAGGAAATCTTTCTTATATGTTTGCTTTGTCATTATTAAATTAGATTCCACCTTGAAGATGTTTTCCAAAGAATCCAAGATGCTACAAAGAAGTATATCATTTTCAAATATGGTGAGTTCATTTTAATTTCACATCAGTGTTACGGTGGAATTTCATGTAGCAGTTTGTTTTATATACACGCATATATGAGTTTGTTTCTTCCCAAACAATCGGGCTTATTTCTGTTCAGAATGCCTTAGATAGATTCCTTCTAAACTAGAAATTTTTTCAGGCTGCCTCTTTCTCATGTTATCGTGGTTTTATCTGTAACCTAAAAAGTAGAATTCTCCTTAGTAAATCTTGCCTTTTTTGGAACTGTCAGACTAAATGTCTGTGTGCTGCTTACATAACTTAATGCATTTCTGAGTTGATAGGATACCTAATACTAGAAAATCAGTTCTTCTGAAAACATACATTTTATTGTTAATGTAAAGCATCTGAAAGATTCTGAAATTCCCTAAAGACTTTTGGAAGCTTTCCTTCCCCACCTGAGTCTTGTAACCCCAGAGCCGGTGTTTGGATTCTTGAGGACAGTCCCCACCTGCACCCCTCGCGCCTCACTCTGATGTGAGTAGGGGTCCCTCAGCCCAGGGCAGTGAGGACCGTCAGGCTAGGTCCTCATGCACACGACACCCTTTTGACTTTCCTACATTTGGGAAGAAACTAGGCATCTGGAATTAGCCAGATGAAAAGAAACTTCATGAATGTGAGGAAGGCCAACAGTGAACGGAATTTGAGCATGAATTTTGGGGGGAACCTGTAAGATAGCTTTACCCCATTAAGGATTCACTAAGTTTTGTAAATTATTAATGTTGGATCATTTGTATTTCAGGCTTTATCATCGTGTTTACTTTTACCAGGAGATGCCACTGTCGTAAGCTCTTCGTGGGATAACAATGTGTATGTATCTGCGCGGGCCCCTTCGCGATTCCACACGCAGTGCAGCTCCCTGTGTGGACGTGAAGCAGGAGAGGGCGGATCTCCCGTTGTTTGCAAAAGGGAACACATGAGGACAGTTGGGTTTGGATGCGATTATCTGAATCTAGTAATTTCTCCAGTCGGACTCTATTTTCCTCTAAGTTTTTAAATTGAGGTGAAAACACAGATGAGCCAGACCTGGAAATTTCTAGTTTTAAATTCACATTTTGAGTATTTGGTTTAATAACATGAGAACAAGTAACTGGTAATTCCAGTGGGCCTTAATAAGTATAGAATTAAATGACCTAAAGTTTCTTGAAAATGTATTTAAGAGTCTTAACATTAAGCTGGAATGCTGTCTTAATAGCTCTCGTTATCTTTTATGTTAGCTATTTTTACTCCATTGCATTTGGAAGACGCCAAGACACATTAATGGGACACGATGATGCTGTTAGTAAGATCTGTTGGCATGACAACAGGCTGTATTCTGCATCATGGGACTCTACTGTGAAGGTTTATATACAATTTCTAAATTAAAATGTTTGGATAATACAAATATTATAAGCCATTCAGCTCCCTGCTGTTGATGTGTTGTCACTTTTTCACGAAGTGTGAGTGACGTATAAGGACGTGGAAGGTTATTGCCCGTGTTTAGTGTGTGCACATCTTAATATAAGAGGACGTTTTCCTGAGTTTGTCCTGTGTGTTCCGCTGGGGGTTGGGTGGTTCATTAGACAGTGGACTTAGAGGGAAACATACAGCAGCCCCTCTTACCTCACGCAGCTACGGAACTAGCAGTTGATCAGTAAATATCAAGTTAAAGTGGAGAATCATTGTAAGGCAAGACAATGTATTTAAAGTCAGAACACAGAAACACACAGTCCTTCACCATTATTGACGTAGGACCATACTTGGCCTTTTCTTTGGAATTCTGCACGACTTTACTGCATAAACCGCAGCAGTATTCATCCTCTTTGGTTTCCAATTTGCATTTATATAAACAGAAAGCAAGAACCTAAAACCATTAGAATTTCTTCAAGACGTTTTCATCATTTCTGTGCCCCCGCCCCTGAGGGGGACATTATTGTAGGTAAGTTTTCTTGCCTACGTGTGATTTCAGTAAATTTTTTTGGGGACTTGCCTTTTTGAGTTTTCTCAAAACCTTAATAGACACAACACTTCCGCACTCTGATTTCTTTAGTTCACCCAATACTTAAGTCACAGCAGCAAGTGCAAGAGACGGAAGCAGACACGGGTACAGCAGACTCTCGGGAAGCACGTGGTGGCGGGAATAAAAGCTCAGGCATGTGGCAGAGGGACCAAGCCTCACGACATTTCATTTTGTCGGCAGCTGGGGAGTTGGTCAGTCAGGAGAGTTTTTCCTGCACGTGTTAGAAATGCTTTTATAGTGTTTGCAGCTACCTTCTGCAATGGGTCCCGTCCTAGGTGTGGTCCGGGGTTCCTGCAGAGATGCCAGGCTCCAGGAGACACCAATTTGACCTGCTGGCCGAGCTGGAGCACGATGTCAGCGTGAGTACCGGCAACAGAGCTGCACGGGAGCCCAGCTGACCCGTCCGGGGTGGTGGAGGTTCTTGGCTTCACTTGTGTGTTTACGATCTTTTGCTTTGCTTATTATTTTGCTCATCGGAGGGGAGAGCACAGGCAAACTCTCAGCTCGTTTCTTGGAGCTCTTTGGGCTTCCAAGTCGTCTTTGTCTCTTTTCCCCCAGTTTGCTGTTTCTTTGAGAATTAGCTACCGTCCAGCTAGACTTCCAAAAGACCAGTGTCTGAGCACGATGTTGAATACCTGGTATCCTCACACTATCGGGGCAACTAGATGTGTTTTCTGACACCAAGGGTGGAAAGGGGGCCCTCTGTCTAGGGTGAGGACACCAACCTGTCTGCATGGTGCGTGCAGCGGGCGCACACAAGGCTGGCACCGCGTCCTGTTCACCCGCTCTGTCTCCACGAGGTCACGGCTGCATCTCCTGCCGTGGCCTGCGGTACTACTGCCTTTCCTCTGAGGTTGTGAACTGGTGCCGAATCTGCATGGTCAGCAGACTGACTGGGGTTGAGACATATTATTTACTGTGTAGTTCAAGAAGGGCGTGCGAGGATAACCCTGAGAGATGCCCGCCTCCCCAGGTGATCGTGGAGCCGCTGTGCTTCGGGCAGTCCGGCACCCTGCTACCACTTATTACTCATGGAGTTGTCATTCTGAGACTGTCAATTTTAGGCTCTTTTTAAAAGTGTTACGTTTACCCCAGCAATACTTCATTGTATTCACTGGCATATGAAGAATTTCACTTTTAAATGAATTATCATTCAGTAGGTGGTGTTGAAAGAATGGGCTGGGGAAACACAGCTCAGTGACCATGATTCTAAATGGAGTACCGTCTGTTTTCTCCTCTAGGTCGATACAATCAGTTTAAGCGCTGCAAGCACACTGTTGGTTTCAGGCACCAAAGAAGGCACAGTGACTATCTGGGACCTCACTGCAGCCACCATATTGCACCAGATTCCATGTCACTCAGGGACTGTATGTGATACTGCTTTCAGCCCAGGTAGTATTAGCCTTTTTAATACAGATAACACCAGGGGAACTGGAATTATTATTTTGAAATATATAATAAGAATATAAAAAGAAAAGCACCGTTTGCTGATAAAAAGAGGTTTTGCCTATGGGTAAGGCTGCTTCATGGTAAAATAAGGTATATGTGGTATTTGTATCAGGTACTGTTCTTAATTCCTCACCTCACTGGAGAAATTATAAGGTGTAAATGAATTCACACCAAAGGGTCATCAGCCCAGTGTCTTAAAAACAGAAGCGTTTCAGGGAGAGGCTAGTCATCATTGGTTAAATACAAGAAGTAGCTGTAGCTCAAGCGAACATTTCGCCCCTGGATTCAGCAGTAAAATCTCAGATTAATCTAAACCACACTCGTGAAGCTGTAACCCGTATCCACGTTCCGCCTTGTGTTTCAGACAGTCGCCACGTCCTCAGCGCAGGAGCAGACGGCTGTCTAAACGTCGTCGATGTGCAGACAGGAATGCTCATCTCTTCTATGACTTCGGAAGAGCCCCAGAGGTGCACTTTCTCGAGTTACTCGTGGTGAAGACATTTATGGACAGGCTCACGATCACGGCGCAGGGCCTGCTTTGGCCTTTCCTTCATGACCAATGATGAAAGGATGATTTCTGAATCCTTCTTGCAGGTGCTTTCTCTGGGACGGAAATTCTGTTTTATCCGGGAGTCAGTCCGGTGAGCTGCTTGTCTGGGACCTGCTCGGGGGGAAGATCAGGGAGAGAATCCAGGGCCACACAGGTAAGCTGTCTGCCGCTGACCTGACTCCACCAAACCTGCTTTTCCCACCAGCAGACGAGCCCTTCTCAAGCAGAAAACTCCCCGTGTGTCCTGTGCCGTGGACGTTCCCCTCCAGATCCTGGCTGGTCAGGCCATCTGCATCTCCTGGGTTGAGAGACATTCGACTCCAGAATGGAAGTTTTTAACTTCCACATGGAGAATTAAAAGCCAAGTAAAAGCTGTCTGTGCATTTAATACAGGCACACGGTAGAAAGAAACAATACAAAAGTAATGGAAATGGTACCAAAGTAATGAATCACAGTGGAAATGAAGTCTTCCTCCCACGGACCACCCCCTCCCGGGCCTCATCCTGGGAAGACTCTGCAGCTGGGTTTCTGGAGATGTCTCACATTACTGAAGGATGCGCTGCTGTGTGCGTCATCATTCTGCCCGTTGGGTTTTCACTCTGCTTACATGTGCACGTCTTCCTCTCCTCTCAAGCACTTGGAGGATTTTATGGTTAATTCTTATACTGGCTATGGTTATAAGTATCTACTGACTGCCCACCTTCACTCTCTTCCCTCTGTCACTGTTGTGTGTGGTTATTTCTTCGTAACATTATACGTTGAAGTGACTTGTCTATGCCTTTCTTCCCCAGCTCACAAGCTTTAAATAACACTTTGACTCCTGATAGAAATGGAAGTAAACCAGCAAACACACCAATTCCCTACTTCTCTCATCTGCTGCCTGACTTTTGTCACAGGTGTATATAATATTTGTATTCTGTTCTGCAATTCCCAGCTGCTTTAGCTTTACATTCAAATAGTTTCTTATTCCTCCCAAGTTCCTTGTACTGAGTAGTTATTCTGAGTTCATGCAGATTGTATTATAGGACAAGACCACGTGGTACCTCCTGGTCAGCTCACCCCCTAACCACACGTCTCTTCTTGCAGGTGCCGTAACGTGTATGTGGATGAACGACCAGTGTAGCAGTGTCATCACGGGAGGGGAAGACAGACAAATCATGTTCTGGAAATTGCAGTATTAAGTGCCTTTTCCTCGAATATTATTGAAACCAAACTTTTAAACAAACTGGTGAATGTGCAATTATAGTAGTTAGAAGTCTTACCACATGAGAAATTTGTGGTTTTAAACTTTATGAATCATGGTGACTTCACTGAAAGCCATTAGTTGTCATGCTCTAAGGCAGAGGGAGATGTGGCAGTACTGGGGAGAAAAACGTTAACATTTGTTAGGCAGGTGGTCAGCCCAGGATGACGATGGTCAGAAGACAAGTTCGGGTGGCAAAGAGCGTAGCTAAGAGAGACTAAACCAGCTGGGGAGACTTCCCAGAAGCACTGAACAATTTAAGGAAGGACTTTCCAAGAAAACGTGGGTATTCTCTGCTGCCGAGTCACTGTTACGTCCTCCTCCTCGACACAGCTGCTGCCCACTGGGCTTCGGGATGTGTGTCCACGGAGTGCTTACTTTCTATAACCCACTGGCCCCGATTCTAAGAACCTGGGGAAGGACTGAGCAGTCTTGGGAATGGTTTATTTCATTATAGCTATTAATTATGCCCATCTTTTCTATGACATTAAAAATATTTTTCTGTAATGAAAGCAGTTTTCATTTTCTCATTTAAATGATTTATTAACAAAGTACTGGGTACTTCAAGTACTGATCCTTCTAGAAAACCATACTGAGTACCGTGCACATCCTCCTAAGTCCAGATAACGAGGTGGAGAATCAAACTGAGAAACGGGCCGTGCTTGGCTTTTCTGAATTTCGCACGAGGTAAGCTGTGAAGCAGCAGCACTGACGACCTCTGAACCACAGCAAGTATGCGACGTAAGATCTTTCTACACCGTTTACAAGCCCTGGTGTATGTTGAATGTTATACTATGACTCGGCCTGGGTGCCCCCAGGGAGAATCAGTAGGCTCAGTGCAGTCCAGCTTCCCGGCTGGAGGCCCTTCTCCCGACACTCAGGCCCTCTCAGTACAGAGGGGCTTTCCTCAGGCTCCCGGGTGGCAGCCACTCTGGGAGATGACTCTCTCCCACAGGCCTACTGTTTCCAATGATGCAATAACAGACAGACTAAAATCGAACTTTATTTATACATTTTCAATTAAAATAGAATAGGCATAAACCAAAGAGAAGGAAAAACAAATCAGGATGAAGTGTCGCTGTCATTCTGTTTGCAGGGAGGGGGCAGGAAATGGAACAAATTAAGACATCCCAGAGCAGCTGCGTTACATGTAAGTGCCGAAACCAGGTATTATCCCACTTAATCTACACATGGAAAAGAAGCCGAAGTTTCTCCTAGTGAGTACAAGAATTTTTACATTACGTATATAGTGATTCATTTCTCAGAAAGTGATACCAGTAACTTTGAGAGGAAAAGTTTCCATTACACAAGGACTAGAAAATCTCAACTGCAGCTGAGCAGCTGTGCTATCGCTCAGCATGTACCGTTACACTGCTCTGGGCTAGTGTCCGTTTAGCAGAGAACTGCATTGGGGGTTTCAGTAGAAAGGCAGCAATAGTTTGGCTTTTATTCTAGATGCTTAACGTTGTTTGTTAAGGTGACAGTCCAAGCCTATTAAGTAAAGGTAGTTAAAACGTAATGATAGTCAATACGGTCTCGCAGCCTACATACACTGTATAATAATGCTTACACGGAATGAAACCAGTGTGACTTAATTGGTGTTTTATACAAACAGAACTGAAAGAAAAAAAGTAATCATTCTAAATGTACTATGGTAACAGTAAAAATGCACATATACCATAGAACTAAAGTGATATGAAGAGCACTACCTGATACCCAGGACTGAAGGTGACTGGTTCCAACAGAGCTGAGCCTGGATCAGTCATCCTAATGACACGGGTTGTAAAAGCATCTGGTTTCCACTAAAGACACTAGTCTACAAAAGTAAGTCTTTCAACTGTAAAATCAGGATAAGGCTACAACTATCTTGAAGTCTGAACAAGATATCAGATCAGACAGTAAGATCCCAGCCCTACTATAAGACAGGAAGGTCCTCATGCAGCATATGCTTGCTGGCTCCTAGAAAGCTTCATGTGCTAATAGAAAGGTACGTTGCCAGAGATGTAAACGGGAGAACTTCAGTGAAGTTTCTACTGCACCGCGGCTTCTAAACCTCAGGAATGGTGTGATCCATCAAGCTTTTCATAATGCTTGGTGCCATCCTACAAGAGAGTCACTTTTATTAAATACTGAGAAAACTCCAATCCGAACTAGCCCTGTTAGCATCAAGTTGGAATTGGGGGGAAGGTTTTTTTTTAATGAGTTCAGATCTAAAATACCCAGCATGAAAAGCTATCTGCATCCTGGCTAGTAAAGTTAGATAAGATACAGAAAAGTCCTTGTACCTTTGTGTATCAAGGCTGGATAGTTAAGAAGACAGAAAACGACAATGCCACTTGTTGGCAGGAAGTGGGTGGGAGCTATTACTGGTTTAAGAAAAGTGAGCTCTTGCAGGATCAGTCCTGACAACTCTCCCTGCCAAGACCCCAAGAGCAGCTAGCTGCATTCTACGCAGAAGCTGAAACAAACCATTACAGGTGGTATGTTTTTAATATTTTAAATTCTATTTCCACGTGCAAGGTAGATTCTGCAAGAAGAATTCGACACTGGCTGAGCCAAGCCAGAGCGTAAAAGCTGCTGGGCAGACAGCCCTGGCCACCCCCTTTCTGTTCTCCGTCCTCAGCTTTCCAGGCCCATCCCTGAGGACAGACAGCACACCCCACACGCTTTGCTGCCTCCTGAGATGCTTCCGGGAATCAACCCCTGTGCCACCAGAGAAGCCCTGGGGGAACAGTCTTAAGAATCTGCCTGCCAGTTCAGGGACACGGGTTTTAGCCCTGGTCCGGGAAGATCCCACATGCCACCAAGCAACTAAGCTCGTGTGCCACAACTACTGAGCCTGTGCTCTAGAGCCCATGACCCACAGCTACTGAGCCCCCGAGCCACAACTACTGAAGCCTGTGTGCCTAGAGCCCATGCTCCGCAACGAGAAGCCGCCGCAACTCGAGGAAGCCTGTGCACAGCAACGAAGACCCAACACAGCAACAAAAAAAAAGACTGTTCCTCCAACACCCCACATGCAAGAATTCTTCATGAACCACAAGCAGGTGTCTACCGAGCAGAGGAGCTGCAGGCAGACCACAACTATGATTTCACTGAAAACTGAGACGAGAGCCTGCCCACCTCCCTTTTTCTACTAGGAAACATCAAAATTTAGGAAGTGGATTTTATTCCATACTCGGGAATTTGTGAGGAGTCATCCTTACCAACCAACTCCTCTGATTTAAATTTACTTTAAATTTCTAGATAATGCCAATGTCATCTCTTAGGTTAAAAAAACCCAAAGGTTTGAGAATTACAAGAAGCACAGTGCTTCTATGAGGTCACATGAACGTAGCATCAGGTTGAAGAATTTGTCTACTTACCGTTTAATAATATGTTCAAATATAAAAGCAGGCATGATTGTAATAGTAACTACATTCCCAGCTGTTGACAGTATGTCTGCAATTTGAGAGTCCTGTTGAAAACACAATGAAAATTAATTCTACTGAGGCTTTATTAAATACATATAAAACTATTGTTGGTAAAAAATATATATATATGTCCTTTCAGGTTTTGCTAATGTCTCTAAAATCCTGACCCTTGGTATTTATAGTTTTTCTAGTTTCTTTACCAAGTTTTTAATTCAACAGAATCACAATTTCATGAGTGGTAACTTAAGTAAACCGAGTTGAAAATATCAACCAACGAATCATTCTTCTCATCACTTACGATCAAATCACTGTCCCCGTATACAATATTACCATAGCCCCTCGGCTAACTGTGTATTCTTAACCCAGGTTAATGAAATGAGCAGGTCTTAATGAAAACCTTTAGACCTCAAAAGAGTTCTATTTAGGAATATGTGGAGAGAATAAACCATAAGAATGAAGTACTAATCTGAACATAAACTATTGCACATTTCCTACAACTCCTGGATTGAAAAAAGCAATCATTCATCCAGAGTGTCCTCAAAATCTTCAATGCTCAGGTCTCCACAGTTCTAGGTCAAGGGACTTCAGAGATCTAGCCTAGCCCCGCCCCCTGCTACAGGAGCCACAATTCCAGGTGGTAGCCCCAGCCTGAGAGCACGGCCAGAGCCCAGGACCCCACTGAATTTCTACATGTTGGTCAATAACAGCACCAGTGAAATAGACAAATGAAAAAGACGCTTTTGCTAAAATCAAACTGCAGCAGAGTGAGTCCTAAGTTGTGCTCCTGACCTTCAGTCCAATGACATTCTGTCCGTTGACCTCACAGATGTTGTGTTCCGTGAGAAGACCGTTTCTAGCTGCAGAACTATCTTTCACTATGGATGTGATTTTTCCATTTTTAAAGACAAAGCCAACATGTCCAGTACTGTCCTTATGCATGGTAATTGTCCGTTCAAAGGGCCTGTAAACATAATGGCTTCAATTAAAACTTTAATTCCAAAGTAAGCATTTTCATGGATTTCCATTCTGACATACTGGATACTTTGTCACAATAAACTCACTGTTTCCAATGAGAGCTACTTAGTATGTATGGCACAGATCTTGTACATCTTAGTGCAAAAGATGACTTTTTAAGAAATTCTCTCCATTACGGTTTGCCTGCCTTACGATTTCCTTCTTATAAGCATCAAAGACTTAACCTTCATGCAGTTTATCAATATGCTCTTCCCTTGAAATTACAGTACTCGCTGTAATTTAACATGAAGACAGGTTTGAACAAAAATCAGTCTTAAAAATGAATTTTTATCTTTTTTAACTTCTTAGTACTTCCTGGAGCTTAATTTTTCTTAGGAAATACTTATTTTGTTTAGAACCTTTAAAATATTTCTCACATCTTGATTTCGAAAACTTTATAGAAGATATTTTTGCTTTTGCTCTGTTTGAGAAGAACCACAGAAGCAGCGAGACGGAAGTTCCCCAGCCCCTTAGGAGAAAAGGCGGTTAAGACGGCCGTGTGCTTGCGTGCGCCGGCCGCCCGCCAGCTGCACCTGCCCACTCTGAAACTCTGCTGCCACGTGACTGCACAGGTTTCATGACAAAATACGAACTGCACGTTATAAACTTCACAACAGTCATGTCTTCGTGTTAGTCCAAGTTACTTTTTGAAATTTTCCTTAGATATAAAGCAAAGGTGGCATTCCTCTACAAAATGTTTACCACCTACCATGTGTGATACGGAAACACACAGGTAGATAAAACAAATTTAACTAAGACGAATAAAACCCCAAAGCTAACAATGTGATACAGGTCCACCCTCAACGCCCATGTGGCCGGGAAGGAAGCCCACAGTACATGTGCTGAATGTTTCCATTATAAATAAACAAGCTAAAGAAAGCGTTCCATCCTCCCACCTGACAACTAGAGCCTCATCCACCCAAAAGGCCAGATTGGGTTTTCTGAACCCGCAGACCCCGTGGAGTTCTGCAGGGGCCCTGCATCACGTGTCTACCCTGAGCAGGAAACCGGAAAGCAAGGCTGAGACGCCTGCTGCTCAGTTACCTTTCTATCCTTCTTTTCTATTTTCTAGAGAACCAGATTAA